CCCGGGGTGCCCTGAGCGGCTTCCCGGGCCTCTGCGCCCACCGCCTGGAAGGGAGACAAGGGCGCCGGGGAGCGTTCCGGGGTGGTGGTGGGGGCGGGACTGCAGCGTCCCTCCTGAATGTCCAGACTGACTGGGTGCCTCCCTCACAAACTCTTCCTCCTCCACTGCTGCCTGGCACTAGCGCTGGGCTCTCCTCCCAGCCCACGGGGAGGGAGGCCTCCACACGCACCCGCCCACCCCCACCCCAGGCCACTGGCCCTACATTCTATCCCCAGAACAGCTCCTCCCAGCCATGCGGTCTTTAACAGCTCACCTCACCTCCCTAGCCTGTTTCTCCTTGTGTAAAGCAACTGGGTTGAAGGGCGATGGTTTCTAAGCTTCCTTCCAGCTCTAGAGAGCTGGACTGTCCACCTTGACCTGTGAGTGGCAGATGGTGGGAAGGGGTCTGAGTAGGGTGCACAGGCTTGAAGACAGGAAGGGGCTGTGAGGTGGTGAAGGAAAGGAAGAGAGGAGGCAGGAGGGGGCCTCCCAGCTACCTTTGCCAGCTCAGCCCCCAGTCCTAGCCTGCAAGGGTGGGCTGGTGGAGCCCTTGGCCCGCCCATACCCCAGGGAAGGCCCCCTGGGGAGCCCCTCACTATCTGGGTGCTCGGTTTGCAGTCACTGTTTGCCAGAAGATGAGGGAAGGAACATGCAGGCTGGACTGGAAAGTCCAGCTGGGCAGAAGGCAGCCTTGACTTTACCTCACACTGGAGGCCGAAGCCTTGCTTGAACCCCAGGACCCTGGGGAGCCTGGTCCAGAGACACAGCTGCCACTGGGCTGAGAGCTCCTCAGCCGAAAGTCTAGCTCTGGGGCCACATGCATGTGCTCCTGAGACCCTGCGGAAAGGACATTATTTTCAACTTAAATCCATTTTCCTATAGATTTACTCAGTAAGTTCAAAGATGCTCGTTCTTAATTTATAAGCTTGGCAGCAGCTTCCAACACATTAACCCAAAGGCCTTCATGTCCTCCCCAACCCACCCCTGCCCCCCTCTGCAGGAAAGGAAGCTCCCACAAAATGTCCAGATGGTTCAGAGAAGTATATAAGACACTCTGGTTGCAAGTGGTAGAAACGCCTCTCCAACTAGCTTAAAGATATAGCTACCTCTATAATACTATAGATAGGATTTGATACGTATATTTGGCTCATAGAGTCTAAATAAATGTTAAAAACTAGTCTGAAGGACAGGGATGTTGTTGAGCCTGGAATGCAGCAGGACTCTGATGGCAGCTCCCAAGCTCAACAACTTAAAGTCTCACTGCAACTTTTCTTCAAAAATGTAGGGCAAGGGAATCCTTAGCTGACCACACAGAACATGTGAGAAAGTTCTGCCAGGGGCCCAGACTGCTTTTCCCAGGCCCTGGAGTCGGGGGAGAGGCTCCTCTGGGCTTGAGCCTGTGCAGGGCATGAGGGCCTGCCTCCTAGCAATGGCTCCAAAATATGAAGACCTATACTGCCCAGGACTGATGGAGCCCACACCATTCTCAGGCTGGGACCCAGCAGTCAGTTTTGCCAGAGAGCAGGGACCCGCGGAGTGGGGCCAGCCTGCTGAAGGGCTGGTCATGTGGGAATTTGACCTGTTCAGCAGAAGTAGTCAAGGCCACTGTGTGCAGTGGTGCAGGCTGTGCACAGCAGCTCCAGTGGTGCCATTTGTGCTGTTTACTTTGAGGCGCCCCCTGGAGGCATTCCTGTTATTCAGGACACCAAGTAGTCTCGTGATCTTCAGAAACAGATCTTCACGAGGTACCTGCACACACATGGCCTCAGGAGAGAGACGCCAGGCAGTGGTACAGTGACTTGTTTTCTCTAGGGGTCATCTGCACTCTCAAGGCGGGGTGCTTTGCACTGGCCAGGGTGGTAAACACAGATGGAAGCCTTGCTTCGAGCCCCACCTACACTCTGAACCACTGAGGCCCGTCTTGCAGCAGCAGGAAATGTCCCAAGAGTGGACCAAGTGCTGGGTTTTTAGTTAGAAGCCCCAGGGCTCCATGACAGAGGAGCCACATGACCTTAGTTAATGTCATTCAACCTAGTAGTTTCCTAGGACTGAGTAACAAATTACCACAAACAACAGAAATTTATTCTGTCATAATGCCCAAGATCAGAAATCCCTAGTCAGAGAGTCAGCAGAGTCGCGTCCCATGCCTTTGTCCTGGCTTCCACCAGTTGCTGACAATCCTTGCAACCCTCAGCTTGAAGACACGTCACTTCAATCTCTGCCTCCCTCTTCACATTGCCTTCTCCTCTGTGTGTCGCTTCTCCCCCTTTTAAAAAAATTGAATTAAATTTAATTTTTTTTATGGTGGTAAAGTATGCATAGCATAAATTTTACCATTTTAGGGGGAGGGTATAGCTCAAATGGTAGAGCACGTGCTTAGCATGCACCAGGTCCTAGATTCAATCCCCAGTACCTCCTCCAAAAATAAATAAACCTAATTACCACCCCCCCAAAATAAAATGATTATATAATAAATAAATAAAATTAAAAAAATTTTTTTTATCATTTTTAGGTGTATAGTTCAATGGCATTAAGTACATTCACATCCCTCCCTCTTTTACAAAGACACTTGTCATTGGATTTAGAGCCCACCCTGATCCAGAATGTCTCATTTTGAGATCCTTAATTATATTTGCAAAGACTTTATTTTTCCAAATAAGGTCACAGTCACAGGTTTCAGGAAGACATCTCTTTTGAGGAGGCTGCCAGTCAACTTAGTATAGCCTCCAAGCCTCAATTAGCTCATCTGTGAAGTAGGAATGATCATATTTCCATCTGTACTTCCTTTGTAGGGTGGTTATGGGCTCTTTGATGCCATCTGTGCGTAGGGGTCAGTGGCAGTGGGCATGGCCTGTCTTATAGTTGTTTTGTATGTGTCCCTAATGAGCCGGGTCTCCATGTGGCCTGCACTCTGGCACCACAGGGATTCCCCACAAGAGCGAGGGCTCCCCTGCAGAACTGCAAAAAGGCACCTGGTCTAGGCCCGTAGAGGAGGTTGGGGAGGAGGGAGCTGGGCAGGCTGCCTTGTTAATCTCTCTCCACCCATATAAGGCACTCCTCGGGGGACTCCTGTGACTTTGATGCAGAATGGGGAATGAAAGTGAGTATTAACCTAGAGACCACCTCTCCTCCAAAACTGCCTGTCCTGGCTGCGGACCCTAGAAGGAGGCAGTGCCGTGGGATCGGGGGACCTGAATTTTTGGCCCCTGGGAGGTGTCCCTCAGGCACCTGCTTCTGAGCTGAGTGGCCTTCTGGATTCTCACTGCCTCCGCCTGGCTCCTCCCCTGGTCACCCTGCCCAGGGTGACCTCTCGCGCCTCCAAATCCCCCGGACTCTTCCTTGACTCTTAGCCCTCACAGGGGGACGTGTGTAACATACAGGGGGACCTTGGGCGGGTTGTCCAACCGCAGTGTCATCACCCACAGAATGGAGATAATCATAGGAGGTACTTCAGGGCGTGGTTGTTCGGCTCAAGTGCAACAACAGAGCTTGGGGGGCAGATGCGTACCGGGACCTGCAGTCAGATCCTCTGGGATTAAATCCGCTCTGCTGTGGACTTTGGGCAACTTACTTAACCTCTTTCATTTTTATCATCTGTCCAATGAGATGAGAATAATAGTACCTATTTCACAGGACTTGTAGGGAGAGGAAACGAGTTCATACATGGAAAGCACTTCGAACAGTGCCCGCCATTTACTACGCGTGAGCTAAGAGCCAGCTGTTATTGTTGTTGTTGTTATAGAGCTTAGCACCGCACTGTACATATAGGAAGCCCTCAAGAAATAAGAAAGAAACAAACCCAAACAACCCACCCTGCTTTCTCCCATCAGGCCGTCTCTCCCCAACTAGCCTGAGCTCCTGGGTGGGATGGGGGATATGGTGGAGTTTGACGCAACCTTGTCAAGTCACATATCTGAGAAGCTACCTGGTGCTGTCTCTGTCTTTCTTACCTTTTTTCTTTTCTTTTCTTGTTGGTGGCCGTGGCAGGGGAGGCAGTGTCATAAACTCTGTCCAGAAACTTATGAAATCTACAAACCCTTTCCCCAGGAAGGTGCTCAGAAGCAGACATTCACAGTATGTTGCACAGAGTTTCAGAGGATCCCTGGACCCTCTGAGGGTTGGGGGAGAAGCCTCTCTTTAGGTGACACCCCCTCCCATGTCTCATTTGTTGGTTTTACTCCAAAAAAACAAAAGCCAGTCCCCCTCCTTCACCCTTCAGTGCACGGCACCCCGGCTTCCAGCCCAGCTCCCAGGGCCCCTGGCTCAGCGCCCACTCCAAGCCACAAACCTTGGCTAGGAGTTGAATCCAGCACCTGTTCAGCATTTAAGGGCTAAAAAAGAAAACGGAAAAAAAAAGCAGACTCAACTTAAAAAAAATCAGACAGAAGGAGTCATCCTCCAAGCCAAACGCCATAATTCACAGGGCTCTTATTTGCTGAGTGGGACGAAATGTTATTTATGGCCAAAAGGCCCTGGCCTCACTGGCATCCAGAAGTTGCCCAAACTCTGGCAGCAGGGAGGAGAGGGCTGGGGTGACCCAGGGCCGGGGAGGTCAGATGCCTGGCAGAGGGAGATTTTATTATTACTGTTTGTGGATGATGTGATTTCCCACCCCCAACTTAATGTTAAATGTAATTTTGGAATTTTAGTACAGGTTCCTGGGACGATGATAACCTCAAACAGCATCTGTTTACTTGAGGTCAATTATGTGCTTGGAATTGGGCTAATTTGTTGTGAGGCTCATTCATTCATTCACTCACTCATTCAAGGTTTATTAGGTGTCTTTTGTTTTATTGAAGTATAGTTGATTTACAATGTTGTGTTAGTTTCTGGTGTACAGCATAGTGATTCAGTTATACATATATATATTCTTTTTCATATCCTTTATCTTTAAAGGTTATTACAAGATACTGAATATACAGTAAGAACTTGTTGTTTTTCTGTTTTATATATAGTAGTGTGTCTGCTAATCCCAGACTCCTAATTTATCCCTTCCTGGCTTTCTTCTGTGGTAACCATAAATTTGTTTTGTCTGTGAGTCTGTTTCTGCTTTGTAAATGAGTTCATTTTTGTCTTTTTTTTTAGATTCCACATATAAGTGATATCATATGATATTTGTCTTTCTCTTTCTGACTTCCTTCACTTAGTATGATCATCTCTAGGTCCATCTATGTTGCTGCAAATGGCATTATTTTATTCCTTTTTATGGCTGAGTAGTATTCCACTGTGTATATAAACACCACAACTTCTTTATCTAGTCATCTGTTGTTGGACATTTAGGTTGCTTCCACATCTTGGCTACTGTAACTAGTGCTGCTATGAACATTGGGATACATGTATCTTTTCGAATTAGAGTTTTCTCTGGATATATCCCCGGGAGTGGGATTGCTGGATCATATGGTAAGTCTGTTTTAAGTTTTTTGAGGAACCTCCATACTGTTTTTCATAGTGGCTGCACCAAACTACATTCCCTAGGTGCTTTCTTTATATGAGGAACTGTTTTAGGCACTGGGGATACAGCCGTGAACAAGGCAACAAAGGTTCCTGGCTTAATGAAGTTTATAGTCTTGGCAGGAGACACAGATAACATAAAATAAACAATAGATGTTGGTAATGTGTGCTGAGAAGAAAAATCAGAGCAGGTGGGGGCTAGGGAGGGCTAGGACACCATTTTAGTGAGTGTTCAGAGCAGGAGGGAGGAAAGGAAGGGAGCCATGCAGAGGGAGGGCCATCCCCCAGGTGGCCAGTGCTTTTTGGGTTGGAACAGCCCCAACATAAAGGCCAGTTCCCACAACTGGGGGCTTCTGGATGACAAGGTTGCTGAATGCCCTCAACCCTCTGCCAGAACCTTTCCTGGGGCACGTAGGTCCTTCCTGGCCGTGGCCTTGGGCCTCCCTGCCATGCCAAGAGCACCGTCAGGGCTGTTTCTTTCTCATCTATGAACCAGGAAGCAGGCTCTCACCAGAATATAGCCAAGCTGGAGCTTTGATCTCTTACTTGCCAGCCTCGAGAACTGTGAGAAATAAATTTCTGTTGTTCGTAAGCTACCCAGTCCATAGTGTTTTTGCGAAAGCAACCTGAGAGGCCTAAGACACTATTATAAGAAATATAGGGGATAGAGGGACAAAGCTAAATGACACTAGCAGGAAACAATCAGATAAATCCAGAATGTGGGATGGTCTGTAAGACAACTGGCCTAGTCTTTTCAAAAAAATCAGTGCAATGAAAAAAGGCTGAGAAAACTATTCTACATTAAAAGGAACATGTAATTAAATGGATGCATACTCCTTGAGCAGACCCTGGTTTGAACAGTTGAGCTTAAATGACCTTTTAGGGACACTTGGAGGAGTGTGAATAGACTGGGTTTCAAATGGTATTCAGAAATTATTGTTAATTTCTTAGGTGTGGTCACCGTACTCGAAATAAGAATGTTTTTTAAAATTTTGGATGTGATGTTGGTGTGTGGGGGTAACAGGTGATGATGTCCATAATTTATCCTGAAATTGCAAAGAAGTAAGTAAATAAAATCTAAGCTATCTAAGGTTCAAGATGGCTTAAGGAAGGAAAAGGGGATACCCCAGGGGACATAGCTAACCTTCCTAGGCTTGGCTGGGCCCCAAATGCTTGACAAAACCCCAGGGTACATGCTTTCTGTGTGTTTAGAAGGGAAATGTACACAGCACCTGGTACACAGCAGATGCTTAACCGAAGTTGAATGAATGAGGATAGCCTTTGTGGGATTCACCTCCTAGGATGGATTTTGGCTGAGCACCTCCCCCATACACACATTTACATCCCACCTACCCTTCAAGCCCATCACAAGACAAGTAAAAACATTAACAGACTGTCAAAGGTCATTTTTTATGGATGCCCCAGGCACGACCCTCTGAGGTCTCCCTTGATGATTCTGGGCCCTGTTGCCATCTCCTCTCCCCGAGCTCCTTCAGCATCTCCTGGAGGCCCCCTCATGGAGCTCAGTTACTTCTGGAGCCTCGGCACCATTCAGGTCGAGTCAGTTGCTCATAATCATTCAGTCATGAACAGCTGGCCTGCTGGTCCCTAATTATTTCATCGAATCAGGTGCTGCATTGTAAACAGCCTTGTACCCCATAAAGCTCTCAAGTCAGGTGAAACACATCGTAGGTACCAAATAAGAACTTGGTGTCCTCAATAATAATAATAATATGCCTACCATTTATTGAGCACTTACTCTTTCCAAGTGTCATAGTAAATGTTTAATGAGAGTTATCTCTTTAATTCTCCTAAGAAGCCTGTTTTGGTATTTTTTTAAAATTTAATTCCTATCCCTATTTTACAAACTTCGTCTCACAATTAGGAAGTGGCAGGGCCAAGATTCTAACTCTGTTTGCCTCATCCCTGCTTCTCTCCCAGCAGCAATGTTCAGCCACATCTGTGGTCCTCGAAGGCCCCGGATCCTTTAGTCATGGCCTAGGTGAATACATGAGGGCAGTTAGGGAAGGCCCCAGGGCCCACGAGCTGCCACTCCAGTTACATCCTTTGTTCTCTACCAAGCTCCATGTTGAAATGATTATCCAAAATAATAGCTCATGTCCCTTCTTTCACAATCCTCAGAAGCACACCACAGGGTGGTTCAGTCGGGCAGGTTGACATGTCACCTTGTGGAAGTGCCTGGGAGGACCCCTTCTCAGTATCTGGGTGACAGACACTCCCCTTCAGCCAGGAAAATGTTCAGGCCTTCGAGCGCCTTTGGCTTCTTGTCAGTCCTCAGGGGAAGGGGTTCCTGGCTGGTCCCCACTAGCATCTGAACTAGGAAGGACTGTTTCTCATCTGTGCTCCTCGCTCAGGGCCAATCTGTCTCGCGGCCGGTGGAGACTGATACTAGATAAAGACCAGTTGTCGCTGCTGGGCTCTCCCCAGGTTTTCTACCCCCGAATGCATCGTTTCAACAGGTGTCTGGTGACACAGGACCCGTGAGGTCCTGCCTGCCCCACAGATGTTAGGTTCCAGCCACAAAACCAAAAAAAAAAAAAAAAATCTGGGGTGGGAAAAAAGAATCCAGATTTCACTGAAAATGAAGCTTTCCAAGGCTGCTGACTAAGGAGTTTTCTTTCCAAACATCTGAGACGGCAAACAGATTGTAAATTAAGCGGGAGTTACAGGAGAGCAGCTGAAGGGGAACAACGCCTCCTGCTCTCTGGTTGTGGCTGGTGCGGCCCTGACAGGACCCAGGCAGCAGGGAAAGGTGATAACCCAGGTGGGCAGGTGGGATGGGCCTGGGGTGCGGGGAGGGGACAGCCTTCAGGCTTCTTCCTTGAGCCCAGGGGGAGCAGTTTATTCTGACAGGAGGTGGAATGCTGGCCTGTGTCTTCTCTTGAGCTAGTGAATTAGTGATTCCCACCCAGATCAAAGTTCAGGCTCCCAAGGCAACTCAGCAAAAATAAAATGAAACAAATTCTAACCCCTCTCAGACGGAGGTTTCCCATCAGCAATGCATGAAGCCAGGGGTTGGATGGTCCTTGAGTCATACTCCTCTCCTTCCTGCTGAATAAAAATACTGATTTCAGTCAAATGTCTCCATTTAGCTGAGGCTTGAATTTATAACGGGAGGAGAGTCCCTGGGGTAGCTGTCTCTGGCAGTTATCCTGCTGGATTTGGGGTGCTGGGGCTGTGATGGGGAGCCTGGGCCCAGAACCAAAAAGTCAGAAGAAATTCCCCTACCGTGACCCCACCACCTCCGGCCCCCACGAGGAAGTCCTGCTTTGGAGAACAGAACAGAACTAGAGGGTGGAGAAGGTGGGATGTTGAAAGCCCATGGATGGCTGGGCAGGTTTCAACATGGAGCATGCCTTCAAGGTCCCTTGTCGTGTCCCTAGAGTTCAGTGATGTTCAGTGTGACACCTGCTTTCAGGGATTGCAAGCTTTGTCTGAGGACTCCTAAGCGGGGTCCTCTGAGCCCCTCTGAGCACGCCCAGGCCTTGCTCAGAGACGTACTTCCCATCACCACGCACTCAGGTGAGAGGCCTGTTCCTTCTTTTCGGTTGTCTGAATGAACCCAGTGAATTCTTGTGGGATTGGCTGACCTCAGCAATTGGATTTCAGGGATGACTGAAATGGTTGGTTTGGCCATAATGCAGTCCAGCAGGACATCTGGAAACACATTTGACCAAATCCCAAGGAACAGTGGGCAAGGTTAGGGTTCCAGGGTTGGGAGTTGCTTGCAGAGCCATGTGCTTTCCAGCTGGGGCCCACCTAGCGGTGTGGGTGGCACAGCTGTTCCCTAGGAGCGGCTGAGATCCCCCATGTCCAGCCCCTACTTGCTGCTTGCACAAGGAAGGAAGCGAGGCCCAACCAAACCAAAATGGCTCTCGGCAAAATGGAAACTCCATGAGGTAGGTGTTGGTTGCTTCGGAGCTTGGAGAATCAAGTCAGTGATCAATGGAATAGGGTATTTTGGGGGAAAAATTCAGATGGAGCTTGAAGTGGGGCTCATAATATTTGCAGGCCAAGGCACAGCACAGATTCTGGAAGGATCTCTCCAGTTCACCAAGGGGCTCAGCACCAAATGGTTTAGGAAGCAAACAAGATGAAAGTCTGTCCATGTGCCAGGCCCTGTGCCAGACGCGGTCTCCACCCTCCAGGGGCTCATGGCCTGAGGGAGAAATGAGCAAACCGGTCCCTGGGAGGCAAGGCTGCAGGGGCAGGGACGGCCCTTGTCACCAAGGAGCTGATGTGCTGCTGTGAAGTGTTCAGCCTCTGGCATCAGACAGACCTGGCTTCTAGACTCGTCTGCTTCCTGGTTAAGGGACCTTGGGAAAGTGCTACAGTGTTCCAAGTCTTGGTTTCCTCCCCAGTAAATTGGGCCTGCGTACAGTTTAGGTACCTCCTAGGGTTCTTGGGAAGATTCAGAGAGAGGGCATGTGCAAAGCACGTGCCTGGCACCCAGTGGTGCTCCTAACAACGCAAGCTCATTTGATGATAATAAAGTAAACCTCGTGTTGTTGGAGAGGTTTGCCAAGCACCCCGGGAGGCTGGAGACCAGCTGTCTGGTGCTGGCCAAGGCGGCGAGGCGGGTGGTGGTGCATCAGAAGGTGATGGTGGCCACGTGGTGAGGAAAAGCATCCCTGGGAGGACACGTGGGGTCCAGGCAAGAAGCTGGACGTGCTGGCAGAGCCCAGTGTGCAGGGGACACAGCCCTCAGGTGCTGGGCAACATGCCAGGGAGTTAAGGCTTTGTTGGGGAGAGGGGTGAAGGGATTCTAGGAAGGGTTTCCAACAGGGCAAGAGTACTGCTGTCACAGTGGAAGACTGGGTGGGAAGGGAGGCCAGGCTGGAGGGCCAGAGTGGGCTGTCACCATGGTTATGTCAGAGTTTCTGGGGGCCTGAAGATGGAGGAAATGGGTGTTTAGGAGGCATCACTGGTAGGGTTCCAGGAACAGTAGGATTCGGGATGAGGGGAGACAGCAGGCCAAAAGCGAGTGTGGAGTTTGGGCAATTAATGGTGACAGGGCCACCAAGGTGGGGGCGTGGGTGCGGGAGGCAGATAAGAGCCTGGCTTCAGGGCAGGAGTCTGTGGGGTGTCTGGGTGGAATGGTGGGGCCGTGCAGAGCTCAGGGTAGGGGCAAGGATGAGGATCTCCATCAAGAATGTTTGTTACCTGCTTGGACTGAGGAGCCAGATGGAGAAATCTAGGAGACCCTCACTGGCCCCCAGGAGGGAGTCTGCTCCCCAGAGAGGAGCATGAGTGTCAGAAATGAGTCCAGGGGAAGGCACAGCTCAAGTGGTAGGGCCCATGCCTAGCATGTACAAGGTCCTGGGTTCAGTCCCCAGTGTTGCCTCTAAAAATAAATAAATTAACCTAATTAAATTAAATAAACCTCCTAATTAATTAAGTAAACCTCCTAATTAATTAAATCAACCTCCCTCTCTCTCAAAAATAAAAAAGCAAAAACTTAAAAAAAAGGCAAGTCCAGAGGTGAAGGCCAAAGGAGTCAGTGTCACCGTTCTTTACCTAATCCCCGGTGTAGATAGGTAAGGGGACCGCCATCTAGTCCTTAAATCCCAGTCTGGGGAGACTGTGATACGAGATGCTATCCTCAGAGAGAGTCCAGCTGAAAAGATTAGGTAAAGTGGTGGACAACTGAGGCATGAGCTGCACCAAGGGTAGGTAACCCAAGTATTGTGCACATCAGGCGAGCCTTTCTGAAGACAGCTGTGTCTCCTGCCATCAGCCTTTTATCTGCATCATCACTGATGGAACACTGACCCGGATGAGTGACGATACACAAAATTATTTATCGAGGGCTTGCTAAGTGCCGGTGATTATGCGGATTATCCTCATTTAATCCCCCATCCTGAGTAGATGTCATTTTACCTGCTACTAGTTTTATCACCCTTTTGCTCTTTTTGGAGCACTAGGGCACAGAAATTTTCCAGTTGGACGAGGTGTTGGAGATCATCTATAGAAATGTAACAGAGAAGGACCCTGTGGTGCGTTTCAGGGACAGACCCCTCCCCGGCGTCCTCTGCTGTAGCTTCTCTCTGAAGTACCTAGATGATAGGGTCTCATGCATAGTTTCTGAGTGTTTCAGATGCTAAAACCCGCCACCAAATGGAAGAAATTAACTATTTGATGATCATGGGCAAGTAGCCCCCAGACGTTCTGGCTCTTTAAGACTGAGCACCACCCACCAATCAGAGAATTGTGCACAGCTGATCAAAGACGCCGGGACGCCCCGCCCTCAGCGGGCCTTTGAAAGTGCTCAGCTGAAACCCTTCAGGGAGTCGGAGGTTTTGGAGGCCTGAGCCGCTCTTTCTCCTTGCTCAGCTCAGCAGTAGCTTTCTCTACTCCATACTTAGTTTGGTGTTTATTGACCTCTCTGAGCTTTGGGCACATGGACTTACAAAGCCAGCCCAGGAGTCTGCGCCCGTCACAAGTCGACCCTGACCGGGGGTAGCCCCTTCCCTGGGTTCCCAGCAGCTGCCAGAGCTCACTTCAGTCCTGGGAACTGGAGGGGAATCTCCCGACAGACGCCAACCATCCCACCGCACCAGGCTGTTTGGATCCGAGAAACTATGTCCTGAACTACGGTCCACATTCGGTGTTTCCTGGGTCGGTGAGTGGCTCCAGCTCGTGCAGGCTGGGAATCCTCTCCAAACCCTCTGGGCTTGTTCCCTTGAGGGAAGTGAGCTGCTCTGGGCTGTTCTCTTTCGAGAGCTGGGCCAGTCTGTTTGGAGGGCTCCATCTGGGAGTGAAAGTAGGATTTTTAGATTACACCTCCTCTGGTTGTGGTCCGTGCAGCCGTACCTTACTTGTCTTGTGCATCATTTTAGGGCGCGCAGGATGGGAAAACTCTACCCACTCCACCTGGGCTCGTTCCCTTCCAGGAAGTGAGCCGTCAGGGCTCATTGGGATCCCCTCTGGGCCCTTTCTCTTTGAGGAGCCAGGCCACACTGAAAGCTTCCGTCTGGGAATGGAAGTGGAACTTGGGGGCTACACCTCGTCTGGTCTTTGGTGGGACCATGTTTGTTGTTTGTACGTGTGTGTATCCATACTGGCATTGGCCGGCGGAGATGTCTTTGGTGAGAAATGAGGCTCACGTGTGCCCACACCAGGGTCCCCTTCCCAGTCGTGCTGGTTGGGGTTTTCCGTTCCTAGCCTTGGTCATTCATTCAGCCTCATCTCTGATACAGCATTGGTTGGGGTTCTCCCCTTTTGGGCTGACTGGACATTGATTGGGAATCCCCCTTTGTGGGGCTAGGAAACTGACCCTGAGAGACCACTTTGAGTTGCTGTTTGCCTGTTAGTTGGTAACATCAGCTGTGAATAATTAAGGATGGATTATCAGAGCTCCATCTCATAGTCCCCGTAGGGTGTATTTTGAAAACTGGGAGATCTTCAGCTATGTTCTCATAAGTGAAAGAAAATGATATTTTTTATGGTAATCCTGTGTGGGCTCAGTACTCTGAAATCTGGAGAACAATTGCTAATGGCTCTGCTGTTATATCAAAGTCGGCCTTTTGCAATTGTTTCGGCTTTTATCTCAGGGGTGGGGGGAGGCAGCGGCGTGTGTTTTGTACCAGAGTCCAAATCCTGTTCTCTCTTCCTGGTTTTGCTGAAAGTGAGGCATGTGAATGTGAGCAAATGATATACATATTATTGTCTATTGGGGAACGGGGTAGGGAAAAAAGTCCTGAAAATGGCCAAGATGGTTGGGTTTTGTTAAAGTAGTTAGAGGAGGAATTTGCATTTCTCATTTTGTGCCTTTGAGATGTAGATGATGTAACTGGGCTCTCAAGTTTAAAAATTAAAAGAGTTTTAAAACTCAAGCGGAAAAAACGGTGAGATCTCTGGTTCTGTCTGTCTTTATGTAAAAAATTGACTTGTGAATAAGTTCTATTTAATTGACTTAAACATAAGTGCTGAAGGGGACCTCAATTGTGTTACTAATGTTCTGATTTGTTAAACTTGCTTTTTGGTATGTTTTTCATATGTATATAGTTTGTGTTTTTTGAATAAATGATATATTTCATAGTTTAAAAAAAAGTAGGACCCTGAATGAATTTCACTGATGTTTAAAGTAAATCATTCTGTAATGTACTATATTGAGAAAATGTATTAAAATGTGTAAGGTATGTTCTCATATTTTGTAGCCACCTGTTTAGATAAGTATTGTGACTAGCAGTTAATAAAATCTATTGAAAATAGAAAGAAAAAAAGTGCTTACAAATACTTCTAAGTATAAAAAAAGAAGCTAGACGGAACAAATTTCAGGTTCACGTGATGTAGGAAATATTCAGTACTGATACTGATATTAAAGCTAGCCTAAATTTGTTGGTATAATCAATACAGTCTTTTATTACCTAGGCTTACTGAAGGCCAGTAAGTTCATGTTCTGTTGCAGTTTGTCAGCAGAAAGGAAAAATAACTTGGCATGGTAACATTCTTATAAATGAATTAAATGCAAGTGAGATAAAAAAACTTTTGAGTGAACTTTTTAATAGAAATAGTTGTGTTTTGAGAATGTCTTCTTAAAAGTGATCTCTCCAGATATTTAGTAACTTGAAATTTTAGAGTCGGGCTGAATTAGGTTAAATGATGGATGCTTATTGAGGAGTTGACTAGCTCGGTCATTCCCAAACGAAATAAGATACTGAAACATTCACTGGGGATTGGGATTGGGGGGGATTGAGGATTCCGGTTTAGATGTGTACTGGAAGCTACTAGGAGTAGCGGGGAAGGTGTTTGGGTGTGCAGTGGGAAAGGAGGATGCATGTTTTAAGCGGAGGAGGGTGTGAGGAATGGAATTGCATTTTGTTAAGATAAAAGAAAGTGGTTTGGTCCTAGAGCCACTTGTTTCTGAATGGAGAAGAAATGGGGGACAAACTAAATGCATACAGAGCTGTGGAAAAGTTTGTAGAAAAGGAGCCCTAAAAAAGGATTTCTCTGTATGGTCAAGCTGAGATTAAACTTAAGTAGGTAA